TACTGCCGTTGTGTTTGTGTAGCGCAACTGTGCATAGTACAGTGTCTCATGTTCTCATGATCTCGTCCCTTTGCCATGCCAGACGTACCTGCCCGCCCAGTCACCTCGCCTGCGTAATCTCTGCATATGCATCGCAATTCGCAAGAGGCGAGAGGGAGGATCCAATGCTGCTGACACGGTGGGTCCCACATAAACTGACACCGTAGCACATCAGCACGCTTTCTGAGCTTCTCCCTCTCCGGTCTCACGGTGTCCCCCGCCTTGAGCCTGGTGAATGACAGGTGGGCCCGTCCTGCGCGTGGGACCAACCGGTCAGGGGGTCGGTGCGGAGCTCTGGGCTTTGCAGCTGCAGGTCGCACGTGTCGCGGGGCTCCATAGCGGATTGGATGTGGGCCCCACTCTCCCCAGCCGCTAAGAGCATGTACAATAGCAGACTATTAGCCAGCTACAAACATATTTTAAAGAGATAAAATATGAGAGAGAATAGCAACGGGGGCTACAGATCTGTAGCCAGCTGCAGCACGGACTCCAAAGACACAATGTGTGTATGACATGTGGGACCATGTACTAATAGTATAGTAAGCAATTATTGTATGAATTGGCTATTAGCTTGGCTATATATGAATTAGAGCTAGTAGTGGGCTATACTATTAAACTTGCTCTAACCACACGCGGGTTTTGGTTATAGACTTCATAATTTTGCACATCCTTTTACAGAAAATCTATCGTACGGTATTCTGTGGAGACGGAATAGTAGTACTGCCTTATCTCCTTTTCCTCTCTCTCTGTATCTCTTCCCCTCCACTCGCTCTCTCTCTCTGTCTCTTCCCCTCCACTCGATCTCTCTCTCTCTGACTACCACCCATGAGCACGGAGGCGGCAACGGCGACGACGGTGGTGGCAACGGCGGCGACGACGATGACGACGGCGATGCCGTCACTACTAGCCCCCGCGGATGACCTAGACGACAGTCGGCGGACCACCACGGGCGACGGCCGCCGTCGAGAAGCCTCCTCATCAAGCTCCTCAAGCCGCTCCTCCTCTTCATCATTCTTGTCGCTGGCTTCCTCGCCGCTGCCGCCCTCCTCCTCCTCGGCTGCGCTGGCGCCTCCTACAGTCGGGGAGCGCTTGGCACAACATGAGCGACGAGGAGCTGCTCTAGGTGGCGTCAATGGAGCTACGGGTTCGGCGGTTTGGAGCGAGGCACGACGACGAGCGACGGAATGGCACAAGGTAGGCACCAGATCTATCGCCTCCTCTTCCTCTTCCTCCGCCGCCGCCCAGCTGCTCGACCTCCCCGACCTGCAACTCCTCCTCCTCCTCTTCTCTCTTGAGATATCACGCTGATACCCAGGTACCAAGGCCTGATACCTAGGTATCAGCTCGATACCTAGGGTACCAGGTATCAGTCGATACCAGGGTACTAGCTGATACCAGTGTACTAGGTACCACCTCGATACCTTACCCAAGGTACTAGGGAGGATTGGATAAGGTGGAATCACAGGATAGCATGGACCTCCCCACGAAATTGACTATGCGTATTAAATCTCTCGGGATTTTAGTTATCCTGTGACTGCTAGGAGCAACGGAATCCCGTGGGGTAGCAACCCTCATCCTTTTATTACCGATGGTGTAATTTCCCCGTACTGAGCTGGATCACGAGTCATCAAATATTGGTCAGGATGCATGCATGTTAAATTATACGGAGTACTTCTTGTATCCTAAAATAAATAGTAATAAACGTAACACAACCGAAATATAAACCGACTTAATTGCATCTAAGCGCGAAATGTTCAGAATTATACCCCTAACCAACATGTCCGTGTGAGCACGTAATTTCGGTTGATCAGACCTCCAACGGAGTAAGGGCATGTTCAATGCGTAGCCCGGCGAGTGGCTCTGGCTCACGGTGTCGATTTTTTCGGTCGGAGCCGTCTCCCAGCAGAGGGCCATGACCCCTCTGCAGGGGACGCGCCTCCTGTGTTCCTCCGCTCCTTTTTGTCGAGCCACAGGACCGGGCTTCACGTTGGAGACACCGTGGCTAGGGGAGTGGCTCATGGACACTGCTCTCACCCACGGATTTTCCCCTTCCACCCCTAGCCCCAGCAGTCTCGTGCTTAATAGATGCTTCATTAGCGACGGCGAAGAGGGAGGCGCATAGGAGAGAGGCGACGAGGGGTGGTGCGAGAGAGAGAGAGGCGATGACGATGACTAGATCTGGCCACCAGCCAATGACGGGCAGAGAGGGAGGCGTACGCGGTGGTGCCTCGTTGTCCTCTGCGACGGGAGAGAGAAGGAGAGAGGCGACGATGGGTGGCAAAAGAGAGAAAGAGGAGAGTGGCGACGGCGACGACCAGATCCGGCCATTGCGCGCCGTGGCAGCCGTCCGTCGGCCACCAGCCGGCGAGGGGCGAAGGGCTTCCTCACGCGGCGGCAGCGACCAGATCTGGCGCAGGCTGTCGGCGCGGCGGTGGTGGCTAGGGAGGGTGAGGAGGGAGGCGACAGCGGTGGCTAGGGAGGGCGAGGAGGGAGGCAGCGGCGAGCGGCGGGGGAGAAATAGGCGACGCGCTCGAGAGAGGGGGAGAGATTGGCGATGCATGTGCGCGAGAGAGAGGAGAAGTGTCGGTAGGGAAAAAAAGTCGTCGGTGAGCTGGAGGATAGAGGAGGGTAGTATAGGAAAATATTCACTGTGGGGGATTTTTGGTTGGAACACCCACTGTGGGCCTGAGTACTTTCACCCAATTGCCTCATATTTTAAAGAGCCTATCTAGTGTAGCCTTTATTGAAAGATGAGTGTCTCTGAGAATGTCCTCAGTTAGTGAGAACAATCTAGGGGTGGCTTTGATTTTACATGCTCTAAGTGGGCTGCCAATTCCCTTTTTTTCCTAGTAACTCATGGTTTGTGTTGCATATGGGGATAGATTAAAAAACAATCTAGTTTGTTTACTAAATAATATCCAACATAGATTAATCTGGTTGGTAGCATTCTACAAACCAGATTAATCTATTTTGGATATTTAGTAAACCATGCTATTTCAGATTAATGCCATTTCAAACCATGATATTATTTGGTAAAAATGATTATGTGGCTATATTTAGTAATGACTATGGAATTTTGACAATATTATATTGAGCACATCCTACTAAAATTTGGTAATGTTGTCAATTTATCAAAATTTTGGTATTACCAAATTTTGAAAAGTTGTATTTTGATATCAATCTGAACATACCTTAAGGTCCTCTTTGATTCAAAGGAAATTCATAAGAATTTTAAAGGATTTTATTTCTATAGAAAATTTTCCTATATAGCCCTTTGAATCAAAGGAATGAATCCTATGCAATCCTATGAAATTCCTATGGAATGCCTCTTCCTATGTAATTATTGGAGGAAATTTAGCATGAGGTAGAACCTCATGTTAAGAATTCTTTGAGTCTTTATATCTACTCAAATTCCTGTATTTTTCCTACGGCTTAATCAAACGGTCATTCCTATGTTTTTCCTGTGTTTTGTAACCCTCTGTTTTACACTTATATTTCTGTGAGAATTCTATGTTTTTTCTATTCCTCCGTTTTTTTATTTCTGTAATTCAAAGAGGCCTTAACTCAGTTGTTTGTTAGTAGTAGTTGTTTGTGTGGCCACTGTACAAATTTCATGTCACTGCGCGCATATACCAGACCAATCAAATGAGTAAGCACAAAGCAATCGATGCGCTAACATGTACCTACTCCTGTATTACATTGCGACAAACAAGATATATATTGCGAATCAAAGCCCATTAATATCTTGGTTACTATTTACTCCCTCCGTCAAAAAAAGACAAACCCGGATTTCCGTGTCCAACGTTTAACCGTCCGTCTTATTTAAAAAAATTATGAAAAAAATTAAAAAGACAAGTCACGCATAAAATATTAATCATGTTTTATTATCTAACAACAATGAAAATACGGATTATAAAAAAATTTATATAAGACGGACAGTTAAAGTTGGACACGAAAACCCAGGGTTTGCCCTGATGCCCTGGCACAACGAGCTGAACTTGGTTTTTTTTTTGACGGAGAGATAGTTAAAAAGACGGCCAATTTATTTCACTGGGCCTGGTGAACCGAATTGGCGTGCTCACACTAGCATGTTGGTTAGAAAAATAATTCTGAAAATTACATGCTTGGATTTGAAATTACGTGGTTGCATGTGTGTTTAGATTAAAAAAAAGTCATGACCTGGTTTCAATAACTGATTATAATAAGTACTCCCTCCGTTTTTTAATATATGACGCCATTGACTTTTTCTTACATGTTTGACCATTCGTCTTATTCAAAAAATTTACGTAATTATAATTTATTTTGTTATGGATTGTTTTATCGTTCATAGTACTTTAAGTGTAATTTATATCTTATACATTTGCATAAAATTTTTGAATAACACAAATGGTCAAACATGTGAGAAAAAGTCAACGGCGTCATCTATTAAAAAACGGAGGTAGTAATGTTTATTAGAAATAAAAAGATAATTTACTAGATGTTTCACGAGTAAAATTTTTATTCATGATGACGTGGATAAACCTCATAGATCTAATTTTCCACATCTAACTACACATTTCTATTTAATATGTGTGATTTGCACCGCATACTTTCCCCGACAATAGATCATCCTGTGCGCGCTTAGAGCAGGTACAATAATAGACTATATATCAACTATAAACACATATCGAGGAGATGGAAGAAGGGAGAGATGAGCAGCGGGCTATAGATTTGTAGTTAGCTACAACACAGACTTCAAGACGTAATGTGTGTATAACAGATAAGACCCGATATTAATAGTGTAGTATATTGTATATATTTGTAGATAACTATGGTATGAATTAGCTATTAAATCAACTATAATTAGTTGGCTATATTATTAAACTTGATCTTAAATAATTAACGAAAATCATCGAGGTAGGCGAGGGCAGTTTGGTCAGAACACACACAAAAAAAAAAGTTAAAGCTCGGAAACGGCAAAAGCTATGGCGACCGACCGGTCACTTCCCACTCCCCAGTTCCCAGTGAACAGAGCAGGAGCAGCCTCCACTCCTCCTCTGCCACTCCACTCCCCACCACCACTCGCATCACCATCCATCCATCCATCTCCAACCCAAGCCGAATCACACCAATCGCCATCGCCATCGCCATCGCCGTGCGTGGTCGCCGGTGCCGGCGGCGGAGGGGGAGGGGGACCAAGGGAAAAGAGAGAAGGTGAGCTGAGCTGAGCTGAGGTGAAGTGGTGCTGAGGCGAGTGACTGGGGGGCAATGGCAGCGGCGTGGGTGCTGGCCGCGGCGGCGGCGTTGGCGCTGTGGGCGGCGGCGGCGGAGGGGGCAAGGTCGCCGGCGGCGAGGGTGCACCGGCACCTCAAGAGGCTCAACAAGCCGGCCGTCAAGAGCATCGAGGTTGGGTGGCCAGTTCTTGAAAACATTTGCTTCTTTTTATTATTATTTCTTTTGGGGGTTATCGCTCAACTTTGTGTTGTTGATGCATTGTTACATTGGGAGTTCAAAATGTTAGTATTTTCATTTCACATTCTTTTTTTTTTCACTTTTGTTTCTATGAGTTTTGGTCTAGCATTGATTTGCTAAGATTTTGAGATGGATTGATTTGCAGAGAAGAAAGTTTGCCCCTCTTTTCTGTGCTTCTTTTGGGCTGTTCTTGGTAGTTTTTCTCATTGCTGCTTTAAAGAATTTTTCGAAAAAGTTGCAATCTTTTGGAGGTACATTTTGGCAACTCAAGCAAAAGAAGGCAGAAAAGACGTGTCCTGCTTTCAGGCTGGCTCTGGCAAAGTTGTATTATTCTCCAATGAAAAAAGGGGTTGAATGAACAATTCCTTTTTTTAAATCTTTCTTTACATTTCCGAACAATGATTTCTGCGTTTTCCAAAAAGTTCAAAACCTGAAGCGTTTGTCTTCTTTTTTTTGGTATTATTGTTATTATTATTTGTCATGAACAAATGTCCTATCCGTTTGAAACTGTTTTGCAAACCGATGCAGAGCCCAGATGGAGACATCATCGACTGCGTGCATCTCTCTCACCAACCAGCATTTGATCATCCCCTACTCAAGAACCATACTCTCCAGGTAAAATGCTTCACTTTGCAATCATTTCAAAGTACTCATCAAACCTGCATTTACCACAGTACATCTGTACATGGTCCAATATGTTGCATTCAACATTTTTCTAAAAGAAAGCTCTGTCAAAAATCTTTATCCTTGCAGATGAGGCCGGCCTACCACCCTGAAGGCTTGTATGATGATGACAAGAGAAGCGTGGCCTCTGACAATGCCGGCGAGAAGCCGATGCTCCAGCTATGGCATCAAAAGGGGAGGTGCCCGGAGGGCACCGTCCCGATCAGGAGAACGAAGAAGGATGATCTGCTCAGAGCGAGCTCGTTGCGGCGGTATGGCAGGAAACGGCATACCGCCGTGAACCCGCTGTCCATTGATCCCAACATGCTCAATGAGGGTGGTCACCAAGTATGTCCGAATACGATGTCATGTTGAGTTGAAATCAAAATGGAACATGGTAATGGCATCGGCATGTTTGGTACTTAACCGAAACTGTTTTCTTGTTGCAAATTCAGCATGCCATAGCGTATGTGGAGGGGGATAAGTACTATGGTGCCAAGGCCACCATTAATGTGTGGGAGCCCAAGATTCAGCAGCCTAACGAGTTCAGCCTGTCCCAGCTCTGGATCTTGGGGGGTTCATTTGGTGAGGATCTCAACAGCATCGAGGCCGGGTGGCAGGTACTACTGGGAAGAAAACCTGAGCTCATATGAGCTTCATCACATTCATAGTTACGCGAATTGAATGATGACCGTTTTCGCGGTCGGCTGTCCCCCTGCCATGATGCATGGATGCAATTGCAACCTGTGCTGTGTGTCTGATCATTTGCGCTAACCGCCGTCCTTTGATTCATCAGGTCAGCCCAGACCTCTATGGAGATAATAACACTAGGCTGTTCACATACTGGACTGTAAGTTTCACAAACTCAACAATCCATATGCTTATACTATTGATGGTACATTGTTATACTATTAATGTTCTCTGTACTCTGGCAACAGACATTCTGTTGTTGATGCATTAACTTCGGTGTCCCTTACGTTTGCTTTCGCATTGGGGTCTTTTTTGTAGAGTGATGCTTACCAAGCAACAGGGTGCTACAACATATTGTGCTCCGGATTCATTCAGATCAACAGCGAGATCGCCATGGGCGCGAGCATCTTCCCCATCTCGAACATCGCCGGCTCACAGTATGATATCAGTATTCTGATCTGGAAGGTGAGCAATTCTTAAACTATTACCAAGGCATCATCACATAATGACATGCTTAGTGCCTTGAGAATTAGCATAAGAACTAATGGGGCCAGAGAATCTTTCCCCACTTGCTCTAATGCTCCTTCACACACCTGGTTCTTTGAAAACCATTTTGTCCAAATCACATGTACTAGGCATGCATAACTAACACTAATGTGGCATCTCTAGTGACTATATTATCGAAAAAAAACTCTAATTATATAGTAATATTCTATGTGCTTCATCTGTGGACAGGACCCAAAGGAAGGAAACTGGTGGATGCAGTTCGGCAGGGAGTATGTCCTCGGCTACTGGCCGTCCTTCCTCTTCTCCTACCTCGTCGACAGTGCGTCGATGGTCGAGTGGGGCGGGGAGGTGGTGAACTCGGAGCCCGACGGCACGCACACGTCGACGCAGATGGGGAGCGGGCGGTTCCCGGAGGAAGGGTTCGGCAAGGCGAGCTACTTCAAGAACATCCAGGTGGTGGACAGCAGCAACCAGCTGAAGGCCCCCAAGGGGGTGGGCACCTACACCGAGCAGTCCAATTGCTACGATGTTCAGAACGGCAACAATGGCGACTGGGGCACCTACTTCTACTATGGCGGCCCGGGGAAGAACTCGAATTGCCCATGAATTTGGTGATGAAGAAGCTGATGATATATATATATTTATATATATATATATAATATATGGTGAAGTGTGCAAGTGTAACCAAGCATTAATCATGTGTGGAATACAGATTGATCTGCATCTGTTTCTTAATTTAGCCCTAGGTAGTATATGTGTATCTTTCCTACTGATTTTCTTTTTCTTCTCTTCATTAGTTTTTTCTTCTTCTTTTTCTGATGTGCCATGTAAAAGTTTCTGAAGAGAAGCATGGCGTGAGGTGGTGGTGCAGGGGTGATGATGACAATTGATTTGTGGGTAATTTGCAAGTCAAACGGCTTGTGATCAGTACTACAAATTTATTAGCTGTTGTGTTAGCTGATAAAATGACTTGGTAGTAGACAGTAGTTCTGTAGAAACGTGAGAAAATTTGACAGATTCGAAATACAAATTCAAAGCAACGAGGAAGGGAGCTGGGCTAGACTGTCAGAAATCCAATGTACACGAAGAGAAAATAATAAATTCTTGAGGTGGCCTACCTTCTCGGGGAACATGTTTGTTCTCAGAAGAGTGTTGGTAGCTGAGAAACTCTGAATCCATGGTTCACCTCCATTTTATATCAAACTAGCCAATAGATCGTGCGTTGCAAGGAAAAACAAATTAAGTTTATAGCTTATTCAGTCAATTAAACACATATTTAGTCTAAGTAGTACTTTTATGTTTTTTTATTGAACAAGTAGTTTCTTTTTTAGATAATAGAAATGTGTTACATCTCCGATCTCTGCCCGTAGGCACACAACAAAAAGTCTAGAAGTGAACAGAAAAAAGCTTAAGAAGTACGGAGTAGTTGATTTCAAAATTTAGGAAGAGCCATGTATAATAGTATAGATTGTGGTATAATAACATAGATCGTTAGACCCAAATGTCAGTGATAAGGGTGGTGTGATAACGGCCAGCACTACTAGTAACATTTTAAGTAGCATAAATGCATACCGATAGATATATGATGACATTTTAATGCAATAGCTGTATCAGGGTCTTTGGGAGGAAAAGCAAGAGTGATGAATGCCAAAATTTATATGAAGATGTCAAATTTTATATGACACCGTTGATTTTTGACGTGATATTTGATCATTCGTCCTAATTAAAAAATATATATAAATGCTATTTATTTCATTGTGACATGGTTTCTCATTAAATAAATTTTACTATAAATTACACTTAGGCATATTTATACAAATGTTTTTTAAAAAAGAATGATCAAACATTATTTTTAAAAGTCAACGACATCAACTGTTAAAAATGGAGGGCAGATCAACAGTGTTAGCATCAGTGTCAGGCGACACCGACGACTTTCGACAAAACCTAAATTATTATTTTTAGATCCGCCACTGAAACGGAGGTAGTATCAATTACAGAAGAAGAGCGAGAGGAAAAGGAGGGCAAGCAGTGGCGGATCCAGAAAATCGATTCGTTAGTGTCAGAACGTGTCTATCGGTGTCATAGTATGCTAATTACACTTAGATCATGGTGTTATAGCATATGAATAAGCAGTTTCGCTATAGGTTTTGCCGAAAGTCGTCGGTGTCGCCTGACACCGGCCCTATAACTATAGATCCGCCCCTGAGGGCAAGTGTGAGGCAATGGAGGAGACCTAACCGGCGGCTCACCATCACCGGAGCTGTCTGCCAGTCAGTCTGCCGTGGCCGGCGGTGGCATGGGGCATGGCCGAAGCGGAGCCTCCTCTACTTAGGCCAAAATTTGGTCTGGTCTGAGGCTTCAGCTAGGTCACACCACCATTCATTCCTTCATTCATCGCTGCCCAAATTAAGTTTGTAATTTGCACCCCTAGTCTCTCCAATTTTACAATTCTTAACATTTTAGACAACACATGGTCTCCAAAATATATCTTTGACTATATATTTCTATTATAACATACTAGTCGCATACCTGTGCAACGCACAGGTTATTATCAATATTTTAAACATTGTTTACTTCTTGGATTTTATATTTGAGGTGCCAGTCACTTTTGTCATATAATAGCCCTATGGTTCTCATCACTACCCTATCACTGAAAACAAAAATTCCTTTCTAGGATAAAATGCTGGAAATAGGCTACTATAACATACAAAAATTTTCAAAACTACGGAACATTAACTTATAACTCATAACAATTTTTTTTAAAAAAAATCAAAATTACATATAAATAAAGCAAACAACAAAATGCAGTTAAAATGATCTAAAATCCCACACTGCATAGTGCAGTTTTGAGGACTAAAAAGTTACAGATTTTTAGGCGCCTTAATCACCTTGTTTCTTATTCATAATTATATATGAGTAAAATATATGGCTGGTCCCTAAACTTGTGTGGTGGTGTCACTTAGGTCCGTGAACTTGGTTTAATGTACCATCCCGGTCCAAATGTCCTTTAACTGCGTTTGACCGCATGCCACGTAGGTAACACTTTTGCTCTCAGCCCCCTCCACATCACAATACATCGCATATATCTTCTTATAGCTATATATAGTAACACTAGAATCCAAAAAAAAAAATCTCAAATCGTTCTCCCATCTCATTCTTCTCCTTTCATGTATAGAAAATGCGGTTCCGATTAGCAATTGCTATTGCTCCATGCTCCAAAATAAACTTATTCTTACACAACGGGCACTTGATCAACAACACATTCTTCCCGTGACTTCAAGATGGGGGTGAGCTTGTAGAATCCATGGGGATGCCTAGCGTGCAAGCCGCATTGCGCTGCCTCCTATCGCAAATCTGGCCGCACTGTGCCACCGCTAATCCTGCTATACCCTGTATTGGCGCTGTCTCCTGCCGCTAATCTCACTGCCAAGACCGCCACAACCACTACCTTTCGGTCTCCTTCCGCTAACCTCACCGTCGAAACCCTAGATGATTTAGGGATATTTTTGGGGATTTGGGTTGAAATGCATTTGTCAGGGCAAGTTATGTGCGAAGATATATGTGAAGGGGGCTGAACACAAAAGTGTTGCTTACGTGGCATGACACATTGGCGGTCAAACGTGGTCAAAGGACGATTGAACGGGGGTGGTACATTAAACCAAGTTCACGGACTTAAATGTGCAATTTTTAAGTTTATGGATCTAAGTGACACCACCTCACAAGTTTAAGGACCGGCCATATATTTCGCTCATTATATATTGTTCTCATATTCACAAATATCTTGATCAGAAATTGCTGACAACCTTCTGTAGAAAAATTGTCATTCCTCCTATTTGGAAATGTTAAAGCATTCCTCTTACAACAAAACCCAATAAAGCATCAAGCACGTGGATATCCCTTCAACAAAACATAAATCATCGAAAGGATATCAGACGACTTAACGAAGCATAAAAGCGGATTGGAAATGGACGACTATTTGAAGAATGCCTAAAGATCACATATTGATAAGTCCGCATTAAGTCGTCAACTTTGGATCCGACTGGGGATTTTTGAAGAATGTTTCATGAAAAAATTGGAAAGCAATGATGTTGATGCTTGCTTATGAAAGGACATGGGGGGCAACTAAGGTCTTGTTCGTTTCTCCAACAAGATGGAGATGAAATTTTGGTTATTCGTGGCACGCTTATTAAACTGCTAAACGGTGTGTTTCGTGCGAAAACTCTCTATATGAAAGTTGCTCTAAAATATCAGAGTAATTTATTTTTCAAGTTTGTAATAATTAAAACTCAAGTAATCACACGTTATTACCACCTCATTTTGCGTGAAACACTTAATCTTTATCTTCAGGAGATACCTAAGCATTGAACATCAGGACCATGAATATACCTGATAAACTCCCACCGAAGAACAGATCCAGAGGTACTTCTCTGTTGCTCTGCGATATGGTCAAGAAAGCGCGCATAGATCACCAGATTATTTACATCCATTATATATGACATGGCAGGCACTAAAAAACAATTTATATTAATTATTATGATTAAAGAGTCATAAGCTAGGTAATCGATCAATCAATGTTGTTTAAGATGAGAAACATGTGAAGAAAGAATTAAATTTTGAAAAAGGGTTCAAATCAAATCTTGCATCAGTTGAGAAAATAGCATGCAATAGTAGCTGCATAGGATTGATCCATCGATTATGAAACCGGAGGGAGCAACTTCTCTTGACTTTGAGTGAAACCCCCAGCCCAACTTGCATTTGCGTTGGTGAGTGACCATGTACATTTTACACGTTGGGTGGATGTTGCATACAAGGAATTCACTCCACTAGTGTAACTTAATCATATTCAGCACATAGAATTTTATTCCATGAATATCAAACAATGTGGATATTTCTTTTTTTTTTGTGGTCCTGTACTCTTGTTCGTTTCTCCAACAAGGAGGAGATGAAATTTTGGATACTCATGGCACGTTTTTTAAACTGCTAAATGGTGTGTTTTGTGCGAAAACTTTCTATATGAAAGTTACTCTAAAATGTTAGATTAATCTATTTTTCAAGTTAGTAATAATTAAAACTCAATTGATCACATATTATTACCACCTCGTTTTACGTGAAACACTTAATCTTTATCTTCACCTTTATCTTTAGAAGATTCAAACACCACCTTAACTGTACGGGGAATTGTGTCCTTGCAAAGTCTAGGTTTGAAGAGCTACTGCAGCAGTGTGTTTTGTATCTCCAAGTCCAACCGTTTAATTGGAACAAGTGCAAGTTCTATCTATCGACTATTAGCGCAATTTGCAATATGGTTTTTCAAATGGTGTCCTGCGCTATTCCACCGTTGCTAAGGTTTTATCCTCATCCGCCATAGCAAATGTTTTATTCTGGTTTTGCGATAGTTAAGGTTTTATTCTGCATCGGTCATTGAAGAAGCCATACATAGTAAGCCATAATTGTCTTTTATCTTTTTTTGGTGTGTTAATAAAATTAAACAATAGGATCAGAGGCATTGATGGTAGGGAATTTTCCGAACAAAACGATATATATATTTACTGGTTTTTTTTCTCTTTCTATACTTCTTCTATCTATAAATATCAAACTCGGACCTAATGTCTCATACACACATCAATTACAATACAATCTGGCATATAGCACATATTAGCTCATCAGTAAGAAATGGTGAACCACAGCTGCCAAGGACTTTTGTTACTTCTTCTAGTGTGTTCTGCCATGCCTGCACTTATCGAGGGTAACTAATGAATCTTCTATTTTACTTTTGTAGGAAGGGGGCTCTAATTTGCTTTTCATTTATATGTCGTTTTGATGGCACCACACTTAAAATTTCATCTTGAATAGATTAATCGAATTTACATGTACATTATTGCATTTTCATTCTATTTTGACAATATGTATGTTCCCTTGATAAACAGGAGCTGATGTTAAAGATTGCATTCACAATCCCATGGACCCTCATCAAATAGATAAGAACTTTTGTTGTGTAAAGGATAATGAGTGCTGGATGTCGATTCAAGAGTGCCTGGCAAATTGCCCATGTGGCAAAAATTGTTCGACGTAATCATATGCTCATTAGTTAGATCTGACATCTTTAGCTAGATACTACGTTAATTATCTCTACTACATCCGGTAATGCTGGCGAGTGCCAAGTAAACCAAAGGTCCGGCAATGGTGTTGTCAGCGGTTGTGTGTGAGGGCGACCGATGTTTTCCTTTTTCTCCTTGTTTACCGATTCAACCTAACTAAGATGATGTTTTTGGTAAGGATGATATTTTTTTCTTTTGCATTTATTAATGTAAGGGTGACCAATGTAACCCCTGAATTTATCTAAAATAAAATGAAGAAAAAAATTGAACTCCCATTTCAAAATGGTAGTTCAATTTTTTTTTCTTCATTTGATTGTTACCTTTGTTTCTATGAATTTTGGTTTAGTGGTGTAGCCGCATTTGTTAAGATTTTGAGCTGGATTGATTTGACAAGTTGTGCATTCTCTAATTCAGAAAAGTTTGCCCCTCTTTTCTGTGCTTCTTTTGGGCTTTCTTGGTAGTTTTTTTTCTTCTTATAGCTGCTTGAAAGAATTTTTCGACAAGAGTAAATTGCATTCAAGATACACGAACTTGTAAAATGATCGTTTTGGTGCATGAGCTTGTTTGGTGCGTGCAAAAAAAGGTGAAAAGAACATTAAATGGATAATCTTATTGATTTAAGGGCTGATTATGATACTATATAAACATATATTTGAGAAGGTTGCTATTAGCCATACACCTCTTCAATAAAAATATAGAATGGGCTATAGTGAACGCAGAAAAATATATGAAAAAATGAGCAATGATATAAGGGTTAGAGATATATGACATTCATCATTTACACGATGAAGGAAAAAGTATAGACCAAAATTATAAATATTATATGCTTTATGCATACTCATTACACATGCACGTCACATAGTCAACATCAGCTTTGTAAAATTAGCATTGCAAGCTATTTTGGTCCCCGTTCGCACGAGCTAGACAAGTTCGTGTACCGAAACGAGCATTTTACAAGTTTATGTACTAAATTGCACCCATCTAACAAGTTTGTGTAACACCAATGCAATTTACTCTATTCAAAATCTAGGATAAAGTGGTTGCTGCTCTAAGCAAACGGGCGACCGGTCGCTTTGTAGTCATGTACATATAGAAAATCCTCAAGAGGATGGTAGGGGTATAGATTTGTAAACTTTAAAACAGAATTATACTTTTGTAAATTTTTCAAAAAGAATATATAAATATGAAAATTCCTGATTTCTACTTTAATGGATCTTGATCCTACATATTTGGGTCCAATCTGTTCGTGTAGCCTTTTCGGTTTGGCCCGATTTGGGCTGGGAATTATTTATTTGTTTCATCCTGCCCAAAAAATACAAACCAGATCCAAATAGACCGAAAAAAAACAGAAGGAAAAAAAAACGATACCCAGCCCAAATTGGGCACGGGCCGAAAACTTGGGTTAGTGCAAATTGACCCATATATAAGTAAAAAGAATGACAAAATAGAAATAAAAAAAAAGAGCGTGCGCGCGCACACAACAAACCCACTTGGGCTTAGGGCACAACGAAGTTACGGAAAAATACGACATGTAACCATAGTAATAGCATTGAAGCATAATGCAAGGCTATAAGCTAAGGAAGCAATTGTAGTAGTGGATGGAGGGAGGCACAGTTTAACGCCTTACGAGCTGTCTAGCGAATTTATTTATTTATTGAACTTAGCTGCCTAGCGAATTTAACCCATGGTAAGAGAATATGTACGCAGAGTTTAACCCCTCTGAACTGAATATCGTGCCAAGTTGAGCGAACGCCAAATAAATCAGCTTCAGTTGATGCAGCAGACAGCAGTTCTGATTGCCATCTGTCCTTGGCACCATCTTTGCCACTGTTTGCTGATAATGCGATGAAGAGTAGATAGTAGTCAGATGTTGCAGTTAGCGATATCTATTGACTACCACTTCCAATGGTTGCTGTGTTATCACCATGTCACGTATTGAGCTCATATATTCCCATGAGTCCTACAACCAAAATAGAGGGATCTAAAGAGGTCTTGTGTTCTTCCGGAGCCAGTCGAGAGAATGGCCACTCAACAAAGGGGAAACCTGAAAGTGAAAATGATTGTGGTTAAGCAACGCAATGGTTCATATGATCTTGGAATGATGTATACGAGGAATAATTTTGCTTCCCAAGAAACAGTCGACGATTCGCATCCTAGTGAATACTACCTCCGTCCCGATATAAGTGCAGATGTAGGTTTCCGTGTCCAACATGTAACTGTCCGTCTTATTTAAAAAAATATTTATGATTAGTATTTTTGTTGCTATTACATGATAAAACATGAATTTATGTGTGACTAATTTTTTTTATTTTTTTCATAATTTTTTTAAATAAGACGAACGGTTAAATGTTGTATACGGAAACCCACAACTGTACTTATATTGGGACGGAGGTAGTACTGAATAGTGACATAATACATTGGGAAAAAAGCTAGTACATGACAATCAAAACCATGCGCATGTGCTGCATGCAACAGTATGTCCTAAATATTGCGCAACAATTGACATTTAAAAATAAAAAAAGTGCTCTTTCTTATTTAAATAGCCACACCTAATGCAGGCTTAGAAACAGATTTGGATATCAATTGTTCAAAAAATAATTTTGCCTCAATGACATATGACTCACCTTTTCCCAGACTTCGTCATGGTATTCATTGATCCAATTGATCTCCGAAGGTGATAGTAAGGACAAATCAACAAGCTTGCTCTGAAGTTACCAAAGAAACGAAAATTAAATGTACAAGGTGGATGATAATAAAAAGAAGTGTACATATAGAACAGCACACAAAGACTCAGGTTACCAGTCCTTAAAATAATTCTGTGGTAAGTTATTAATTTCATAGGCCAACGTTAAATTACTCAGACTTGATTACTCATTAGTAAGAAAGTAATATGTGGATCAATGCCATTATTGCAATATGTTTCCACAAAAAATAGTATCAAATCGAGTTGATGGTATACCTGAATTGGAACAAAAGTTAATTTTTCAAAACCAAGGTACGAGACGCCACCAAACGAATTTGGCAAATTAACCTCTTTGACCAGAAGAAGATTCTGCAATATTCAAGAAAAAATAATGAGAAATGGCTATTCAATGTACTATCTGCACAATTGCTCAATTTAGTCCTAAAAATTTAGGAGACTGACATGAGCAAAGAGTGGGGAAACCTACCTCTATACGAATGCCAAAGGAATTGTCTTCGTAATAACCAGGCTCATTGCTTACGATCATGCCCTTCTGTAAAGCTGTCAAATTTCCATATCGATAGCTTATGCTCTGAGGGCCCTCATGGACATTTAGTGCAGCTCCAACTCCATGACCTGTGCCTGGAACAAGAGAAAAATTGATCATCAATTTACGTAGCATCACATGCCATAACTTCCAGCATTCAGAGATTTTTGTGTGCTTAGAAAATGTACCATGTCTGTAATCCAGCCCAATCTTCCACAGAGAAGAGCGTGCAAGAACATCTAATACAAAGCCAGGAGTTCTCTCTGGAAATACCGCCTGATCGAGAGCTATATGTCCCTGAAACAATAAAACTTTATGACTCGAATAAAGTATGAAACAAAAATCAAGTGTTGAGTGAGACAAGTATCATAGCACACTGAAGGCAAGACATACTAAATAACTGTTACAATTGAGTAAAAAATAACTGTTACAGGTCTAAACAAAATTAAACATTACCTGCAAAACCCTTGTGAAGCATTCCTTTTGCCTTGGGGTTGGCTCACCAAAGTGAACAGTCCTTGTTATGTCAGTAGTTCCATCAATATATTGAGCACCACTATCTAACAGAAAGAGATTGTCGCTTCCGACAGAGCTGCAGCTCTCTGGAGTTGGTCTGTAGTGTATTATAGCACCATTTGCACCATAACCTGAGTGGAAAATTTGACTACATATTAGAAGTCAAGAACTGCAGACATCACACGGCATTTGCAAACAGCAGTAGTCCAATGTCACATTAAACATTCCCATGATGCTCAGCATGAAAATTGAGATAAGTCTAAACCATAACATGCATTGTACTCCTACCATATATCAATACTCGTTTTAAAAGAAACAAGGCAGTTGTGGCACTGAATCTGCCAGCACACCAACTCTGCAGTACATTTGTACCAAGTACTTCTTAAGTTTGTTAATATTGTTAGTATCTTATTCCATCTCTAAATTCATGGAAAGGTTTATGGTGACAAAAATTGTCACATATATAGTATAAATGCTAATTTACAAATAGAGTAATGCAAAAAGTTGTCTAAGTGTTCCCTTCAACAGAAGTAACAAAAACATGGTGGGTGAGTTCAATGAAAAAAATCACGCAATTTATTCAAACAATATTAGCACATGTAGATCCATTTTCATTCGTAGCAACACATGGACATTTAGCTAGCAAAACTAAATAATGAAAAGGCTTAGATAAACTGCTTGAGAATAGTAACAAAGTTCCAGATCGATTGGTTCGAGGAACGTGATATGCTACTTGCAAGAGGTGTTTACAAGGTGGTACGAAAATGTCCACGTGTTCCCAGGACATTCCTGGTCAAGGAGCTGCCTTCGACCCAGATCATGACTAACCATTAATGTATGCATAATTATTCCCTAATATATACAATGAAAAAATGCAGTAGGCTCAAGCTGAGTGAAACATGTTACACCCCTCCCTATCAAATTACGCTGTAATAAAGAGGTTTGAGAAAGGCACCATAATAAATACCTAAAGACACTCTACCAACTACAAACAATCAATCCAGATAATAGATAGCAATAACAAACAAATATTAACATTTGAAACTCAAGATACTGGCCATGTAAAACAGTTCTCAGGGATTTTAATATTGCAGGGAAAAGTTGAAATATACCACTGATAGTGTCAAAGCTTGTATCTATAAAGCCATCTTGCTTTTGACGAAATTCAAGAAGCTTTTCAGCAACTTGCACTTCTGTAAGTGGTACACTTTCACGAACTTGCCCTTCTAGCCAGCACCAGAATTCTGCTAAAGCAGCAGCATCTCTGTAAATGTATTTATGTGCCAGTATAGACAATGCAGTGGTCAGCTGGACCCAAAGGCCACATTAACAGAAAAAGGAAAAAAAAAAAGAAGATGCTTCCTTTACAAAATGAAAAAAAAAAAAAAACACCCAGCCGCTGCACTGGTAAGTGCAGAAAGCCAAACAACAAGAAGATGATGAATGCTGAAAGTGATGATGAATAAAAACCCATTGCTAATGAAAAAAAATAGTAACAATGGTAGTAGGTTAAGGATCTCCATTTTCTGTGGAGAATGACATCATCTAAGTACATGTCTATGGATGGAGCTTTGTATTTGATCTCTACTATGAGTTGCTCACTACATGAGAATTTGGCACGTGATATCCATATCCATATTTAGGATATCTATTTGTGCACGATGAATAGGTAAGCAGGCACTGTGTTTCCATTGCAAATTTTGTGACCTAGTCGTATATAGTGGGAAACTGATATGAGATATATTAGAAGCAATATCATTTATTGTACATCAGTACACTAGTATCGGATTTGTCGGAGTAAGGGGAAAGATTATTAGACATTTTTCCATGAGTGAAATTGTCATATCATTAGACATTTTTTACATGTATAAATAATTATAGAGCTTACTGGGCAAGTATAAAGAAAAAGAATAATTGAAGTGAACAATCCGTACAGGGAAAATCACATTTATATTGTTGCTACAATGCAATAACCAGACTATATGGTTGCCTCAGGTATGGTTCTTTCAATTCCAGGAAATCAAGGTTCTGTCTTCACTCTTCAGGCATTTTTCAACTGACGAAAAAACAAAGAATTCAAAAACATTTTTTAAAAACGATACCTTAGGTGTGAACTCTTCATACCCTCAACTTCTGCTTCATTCTTAACTGCTTTGGCTAGGGTGGCTGGTGAAACTTTGTATAGAGCATTTACAGTTCCATTCTGAACACCAGAGCTTCCAGTAGCTGGGTCACCTTGAGATGATTCTTTTCCAATTTGTCTCCCTGCTTTTCCTCTCTTTTTCACGTATCTCTCACAGCTTGATCTAAACACATTAACTATGGCAGCATTTATACTTGAAGAATCCAGCCAAAGCTTTGCACCATTCTCTGCCAATCTAGAAAAGGAAAAGGGAAACAATTTCCAGACTAAGATAATCATGGAGGAGTTTAAGAGGTGAACATTGACAATTTAAATTAGTCTCTTTCATATAATCACATTTTAAGTTAGAGCTACTAAAATACAATTATAAAATTTAATAGAAATTGGTTCAAGAATACTGACTGGAACAGCACACAAGTACTGAACCAGACCAAGGACTGGTAAAGTTGGCACATTATTATAATCAAATACCATGGCTAAATGCCCTTTACAAATTTTGGGATCTCAAAAACATGTTTGGTGTTCAATCAGTAACAAGCTCAAGTCCTTTTGTGAGGTATACGTGCAATAATGCGACATAATCATTATGTATTTCTTTCAAAATCATGTACATGATTTTAAGTTCACAGATGAACATAAAATCAATATGTGACAGGAAGAACAGGAAATCCTACCACTTCCAGGGCAGAGAAGAATTTAGATAAAAGCTGTTGAACACGGAAATGACGTAATGGGTCACTGGTTTCAACAGGTTATCAACTCACAAAATTTATGATCAGAATTGTATATCCGATTGGCTAAGACTAATAAGCACGCTCAACTACCAAATTAATTAAAGGTGGTTCTTATCTAATTCCAAATATAAAGGGAGATGATATGACATCAATATCAGAAACAATAATTGCTTTTCTGAAGAATTACCTCTCAACATCGGACAAAATCGCTTCATATGGTTTTAGTTTTACTCCAGCCTTTTCGAGGTGCTCTAAAACATCTTCAGATACTTTGTTGTTATCCACAAATAATGTAGCAGCGGTATCCTCCACAATAAGGTAGCTATAAAATACAGGTGAATTTGGAACATCACTTCCTCTCTGCATACCAAAATGTGACAAACTGACTAGCTTAACCATAATAAACCAAAGTGCAAGCATGCTCAACATAGTAGAAAAAAAAACAAACTCTGAACACGAATTATCAAGTGTGAAAAGTGCTAATATATCATGCCACCTCCCAATTATGGATTAATGACCTTCATAATTTGCACAATAAGACAATAGTACAGAAATGTATCCGATAAGCAGAAAACAAGTTTACAACCATAAAAGCACAAAACATAAAACATCCTTCAAATTATGAAAAGAAAGTACTAAGTGCTAAGCAGAAAGTTTGGTAAAAACAAACTTTGGTAAATATTAATCTTGAGCTACAGATAGTTGAGAATCCATAAAAAAGGAATATAGCAATAAACATAGGTGTCAAGTCATAAGAAACGATATAAGTAACTGTGAGAGCCAAAATATTAGTACCATGTTTAACAACCATGCAACTTCATCAAGCAACGAAATGACCACAGCATTACACCCATTTTCAGCAAGCTGTGATCTAACAAAGGACAATTTTGATGGCACGTCAACGCCAGCATATTTGATTCCATGCACTCTAGTTTGTTCTTTTGGGGGCTCTGGCCTTGATTCTCCCCATATTTCATCAACTAGATTCAAATCCTTGATCAAAACTAACTCATGGTTCTTCTCGGAAATAGCATCTTTTAGTTCTTCAGCTGCATCAAATGAGAAAAGAAACTGCATCCTTCAAACAAAGTAAGAAATAAAGTATTAGGACAAGAATAAAATGAAACAAAAATATCAAAACATAAACAATTTTTCAGAATGCACATTTATCTGAAACTTAGTAGGAAGACTAAATGGAATAAAGTTCTTGGTCAGAATGTAACATTTACAAAGTAAACACAAGAAGGTTTCAAATGACTGTAAATTTTACCAACAGTACACATTCATAAAACGGTTAACTTCTTGTGAGGGAGATATAAAATTTAGATAAAAAAATAAGATCTCAAATTTTAAGATGCATGTGTGCCACAAAGCAGTTTCAGGATACGATTTTGCAATTTAATTTAAACATCAATCTATTCTTTACTTCTAACATCCATACACTAGTTTGTCATTTCATGGGCATGTAAGAATTTGAAGTACAAAAACTGCATGAAAAGAAGCCCAACTAAAAGAAAAGATAATTATTTATCACATGATAATGGCATGAGAAAAGGCATATTAGCAAAATAATCCATTTTTAGTTTGGTTGATGATAAAACAAGATCTCACCGGGTCAATGCCAACTCGGCAACCAGATGGTAACACCTCGTTCAACCATTCGCTAGTGGTAGGAACACCTTGATTTCCACTGCGCATGAGTGTCCAATCATGGCTCAGTTCTTTCTCAGCCTACTCAACAGAAGAACAGATGAATGATTAGCCAATAGCCACATAAAACCATGGTTGCTAAGAAATTAATTTGCCGTGTGGGAATTGAGTACCTGGAGAAAGTACCGGCCATCAGTCCAGAGAGCAGCTTTATCTTTTGTGACCACAGCCGTACCAGCACTACCAGTGAACCCAGTCAGGTAAGCACGCCTCATGAAGCATTCTGCGATGAACTCGCTCTGAGAATAAGATATTAACAAAAGCAGGTAAGTGGGAGAGGGGCATGTAGTTTCATGAGATCAAGAATGCATTGAGGTTTTTCTACTTCCTAGTATCATGGAGCATCAATAGCTTCACAAACAAACAGTGTAGACACTATATATCATGTGCTCCCATGCATACATGAATCCTTGTTTCAGATAGCTAGCTAACGATGGTTTACTGAAAGGCCCTGACATCAAAATCAGGCCATAGAACATGACTACTTGCCAGATACAAAAAGCATACATACGCATCAGTAGTTGTTTCCACTAATATCAACGCACGATCGAAACAGTCAATCTGCAACTGCACCATAATCACCATTGCTCACCATTTCTGCACTACTTTCTGTTGTCTCCATTAGTGTATCATCGATTCTCCGTACGGAATGATCGAATAATTGGGAGCAAGGCAGGGTGTACTAATAGACCTGGTGGGCGTCCTGGGAGGGGACGATGTAGGCGTCGATGGCGACGTCGGGCCGCGCGAGGAGGCGGCGGAGCGAGCGGAGCTTCTCGTCCTCACCACCACCAGGAGCAGCGGAGGAGGAGGATGATGCGCCGCCCCGGCGCTTGCGGAGCTCCGACGAGGGGAGGGCGACGGCGCGGCCGTCCCCGCCCGCGGCGGCGAGGAAGCAGAGGCGGCGGCGGCGCGGGGGGAGCAGGAGCGGGAGGGCGCGGCGGAGGGGGAGGGCGGCGGGAGGAGCGCCGCGGCGGCCGAGGATGGCGGCGGCGGCGAGGGACGGGGAGAGGCGCGCGGCTTCGATCGCCATTGGAGCGGAAAGTGGGGACGACGACGATGATATGATAAGGGAGGGAGGGATTGGAGGCTAGAGAGTAGAGAGAGAACCCCGGCTTGCTTTGTGATGTGATGTGGCACAACTGGGCCGCCACTCGTCATTGACGGGCCGGCCCGGGCTGGACTGGGCCAGGCTTGGGCCCAAACGATAAGCGGTTGTTGTTATTATAACATCTATAAAATAAATTTGGCATCTATAAACTAAACCACGGTATCCCGTGGGGACGGGATAGCGCTCATCGACCCGAGCCCCATCTATTTGTCGCTCTCTTTTCAGATAATTTTGAGGCCTCGTCAACTCAGCTCCCCACCGACATGGCCAGCGGCGGCGACGACGACTCTGTCTCCGCGCTCCGACGACGCCCCGCACGAGCTGTTCATCTTCTCCACGTCTCGTCGGCAGACGACGACTTCGCCTCGGTGCTCCGACGACGCCTTGACGGTGGAGCTGGAGCGGGAGGCGGTGGGTGGGGTCGGGGAGCACGAGCGGCTCGGCAAGCGATGCGCGCAACGCGTCCACCAGCGACGCCGCCGCCACGAGCGGGGAGGTGTGCCGACGCGAGCTTTCTCGAAGGTGTGGTCCAGGTGCCGCGCTACCGTCGTCTTGCCTCCATGCTCCACCACGCGTCTGCCTTATCCTCTCTCTCCTCCTCCTCGTCCTCCAGACTACCAGGTATCAGGTATCACGAGTACCTAGGTACCATACTTGGTACATGTGAGTATTAGGCCTGATACCTTTCGTCATCGAGATGGCCGGCGGCAGCGGCGGTGAGGTATGTAGTGTGGTTATACATGACGGCAGTGTATTGCAGTAGGGAAGGGAACATGGACAAACTTGATGTGGGCGACGTCCTCGACGAGCAGCTCGAAGTGGCAGCCGACGCACGTTAGGAAGAGTCGTGTGGCTGCGCAGCTTTGTTGGAAGCTTGCATGTGGGGGTGAGGTGCGCGACTTCGGGGATATATGCGGCGTTAGGCTGTCGCCCCGAGCAATGCGAAGGGCATCCCGTTCCCACGGAATCCCGTGGGGTAGCAGCCCTCAAGAAAGAAAGATAATAGAAAAACTTGGCCAGATTTTGTTAGGAAAGAACTCACTCTTGTTTTGTTGCGCAGGGCTGGTCCGATAAACGATGCATGGGTGGGTGATCGACCGACGGCATGTGGCCGGCCAGGCTGGCGGAGTCCGACTCCCGAATTCAATTTGGTGTTTCTTGGGTTTCCTTGCGTGGACTTGAGATATCTCGAGTCTTAATTAGTTTTTAAACCTAATATGACGTGGAGAGGGTCTTGTAGCAGACATGACCAACTCTTTTATAAGGGATATGGCTGGTTCAATTGACGAACTGATCTACAATCAATGCTATTAGCCAATTAAATCATTATTTTAAAATCACAAATACCTTTTACCTAGTTTTTAGCCTACTTCGTCCATCTTCTTGATTTGCCCTGTAAGCCATCTGTCTTTGTCGCGAGAATATAGATCCTCCTATAGGTTTATCCTAAAAACCTTTCATTTTGCCCACAAGGCGGATTTTTATCTTAGTTTATCTAAAACAGCTCCAGTAGCCGGTTTTGATTTCTAAACCCATCTTGATCAGGAGTTTTATCAAGGTCGAGTTGATTGACGCTTCGTTCAACCCCGTAAGGCTTTAGGTGAATCCCGATCATGTGCGGTGGTGTGACCGAAAATGGCGTCGAAAATGGCGTCAACAGATGGTAATCTTTATATTTCACCATACTATTGTTTATACCCTTAGTGGTTTAAAAACCAAAACTGAAAAAGAAAATGGTGAAAATTCATGCATAATAATTTAAAATGAAGTTTTAAAATTTAAACACTCAAAATATAGCATTCCTAGGAGTAAAAATGTCAAAATTCAAAAACTGGTTAGGACTCTCTTTGAGAGAGCTGGAGATTCTAAGTAGTTAGAATATGAAAAGGCTGGGATTACTAGCTTCTGATTCTAGTTTATTTGTTAAATTATACGGTAACAAATTCTCAGAATCTAAGTTATGGAGTAAGTTATAACCAAGACCGTTTGGGGAAGATGGGAGATTTTAGGAAGTTGGCACAATCTCCCTCCAAAGGCACCGCAAGCAGCAAGCGCCACGCGTGAGTTCACCAACCTGCTTTTTCACCAATCTTCATGCTGAGGGGTTGTTTGGTTCTTAACTAACATTGTCTTAACTCACATTAGGCAAGTGTGGCTTGCCATACTTTTTTGGCCTACAAATTGTAAGCCACACTTGTGGCAAAGTGAGACAAAGCCTATGAAATGTAGGGTAAGGTGTTAAAAAGTGTGGCTTACCACAACTACGGCAATAAACCAAACACAAGACTAAGGGGATATGGTAACCTAAACTGTGGTATGGCAAGTTAAAGTATTAAACCAAACAACCCTTTAAGGAATTGCACTGATCAGACAGTACTTCCTCCGTCCCAAAATGCAGATAGTTTTGAGGTTAGCACAAGTATTAAGAAATTAGATGAGAATGATTGAATGAAATGCGTGATTGGTTGAAAAGAGAAAATAGGTGAAAGAGAATGGTTGTGGTTGGTTGAGAGGGGGAGGTAGGTGATGTTAGAAATAGCTATATTTTGAGATGGAGATAGTAGGTACTACTAGACAGTCGTTGTCACAATCCAGATACACGAGTAATCAACAAATCTTGGTATCATGTCAGGTCACAGTGCTTTACACCGTGTATGTATGTCAGTTGCTTGTAAGGGGGATAAAGGGTCTGTTGGGGGAGCTTCTAGCTGCTGCAGCTTCTCCCATAATCAGAAGCTCCCCAAACAGTACAGCTTTTGGTCCAGAGTCTAAGAAGCTATAGTTGTAGAATTTAGAAAATGAACTAAAAGCTAGAAGCTGACTACCAATCAGCTGCTTCTCATAATTTTAAGCTCCCCCAAACAGGCCCAAAGAGACCATTACATGCATGGACAAAGATGGTGCTCCCATTTACATAATGATAATTACATTTGAAGTTGTCAACAGGGAGGCTTCTCTTTCTGGTTCAAGAAAGACACCTCTTTTTCTCATAGACCACACCAATTCCGTGATGATATACTCTCCAATTTGCAGCATTTGACACAAGTTACATACACACATACATGTATAGCTCGTGATAGAGGCACTGCTCCCCACAGTTTCTTCTCTACACGTTGCAATGGCAAAAACAAACAAAAAAGAATTAACCTATATATATGTATATACCGCTATACATAAAGAACGAATCGAGTGGGTGTTGAATCCGGTTGACCCTCTAAGACCATGCACACGGATATGCATATATTCCTCTTTCAAAATAAACGGAAAATTGCCACATCATTCGGTTTATTATCGGCTTGAGATTTCTTTTCTTTGCTCATCTATGTGAAGAACTTGGTGGCATGATAGACTTGCTGCTGCAGGCTCAACCTCTAACAACCAGCAGCCCTGCGAAAATTGTCGTATGGACTTGATGCCGGCAACCTCAGGAAATGTTGCTGGGCTTGCTCATAAGTTGGCTGTGGATTGGCTTCGTTCATGTTCATGTACTGGGGGTAACCATACAGGTTATCGTCGACGAACGGATTCGTGTTCGGCACCCCAACCTGCTCAGAATCAAATTATTGGCCTTAATTTATTATATATATGAAAATGCAGTATATGTATATGCTTTTGTCAGTGGATTGACATGGTAAAAGAAGAATGGCATTTAGAGTTGAAATTGTTTGCTGTGCGATTCGATCTACCTGAGGCGGATATGGGTCATGGAAAAGGGACAAATCCGTCTGGAACGGCTGATTGGTTGCCATGGGATCCATTGTCATATCCTGCGAGAAGCTCATGAAGGAGGCCATTTTCTGATGTTTCCTGACAGTGAGGGCTTCGCATTGGCTACTCATCTCCTTGAATGGCATGTCTGTTGATACAGACACTCGTTCTGTATGAGGTGCCGGGTCTGTGACAACCTGTGAAAATGCCAGAGGATGAAAACATAAGTCAAATCGGTTATCATGCCAAGTGAAACGAACTTATAGATCTAGCATTCTTTACTTTTCAAACAGGTGTTGTTCTTTAATTAGGACGTTGATGAAACAAATAGGTTAATTTGACATATGGTTAGACAATATAGCATTTCAGGCATGGATCATTTGTTTTCTCCCAATGATAGGAACATTGACTTTGATGTATCACATTGGTGCAGGTCTTGGTTGAATTTTGCAAATGGGAATCCTCGCCATTCTGCTGAGATCTTGTAACTTTCAAACTACTACTGTATACCTGCTGAAAACTTGGTGGGTGTTTTCCTAGGTATCCTAGAATGCAGAATATCACACACAATAGTAACTTTATTCATGCCAGGTTACCTCATCAGAAGAGTACAACAAGAACATAGAAAATGAGTTTAAGAGAGCAAGGCATACTGTTTCAAGAAGCTGATCGATACTCAGAAGATCTGTTACAGGCACAGCATTTGCAGAAGCAGCTGTACTTTCTGAAGCTTCCCCAAAGATATCGTGGTCATTTCCCAGGTCGATCAGCACAGCCTATTGAAAAAAAACACAACTTTAGCATTTTAAGTAGGACACAAAATATATTTGCGAGCCTCAAAATACCTCTGGATGGTGATCATTATCATGAGATCCTGGTGATGAGTTATCACCAGTTGCTTCAAAAAAATGAGTGCTTGTTGGACACATGTCATCGGGAGAGAAATCGCTTAGCAGTTGATTCTTCACACTATTCAACTCCGCCTGCAGAAACAGAGAAGTCATCAGCGGTTGCACTTTTTAGCGAATACAGCAGTTTCATTGAGCTCATGTTCAAACAATGAATTTAGGAGACCATTGAGAAGATGAACATTACCTCTAGCATATTTGTTATGTTGTTCATGATTGTGGAGACAATGCATTCTCGGGATTGACTCTCTGATAGTTCTATCGCTGAAAGGGACTTCAGTGCGTTAGTATTATCCTCTGGTGATCCGTAGATTTTCGACGGATCATCCACGGAATCTTTCACAGCCTGAAGCTTGCACTCATCCACCAAACGGAGGAATGGATCACCCTAGACAGAACAGGACACACATGTCAAAATAAGGACTATGCTATTCATGAAGTCAAGATGCCGCAAAAATGCCTCTAATAACAATAAGATGATTAATTGTGGTTTGCTTATCTCCAGACTAAGGGTTCCTTTCAAATGCAAGATAGAGAAAACAGAGGAATAAGAAAATCATAGGATTTTGACAGGAACGTAAGTACAAAACAAATGATCGTTTGAATAGACCGTAGGAAAAATATAGAAATCAGATGAGAGATAGACTCAAAAGGAAGTTTTCTAAGAGGTTAGAGCTCTTGCAAACTTTACTAAAAAATCTGCATGCATTGAACCATTCCTTAGGAATTTCATAGGATTTAGAAAGCTTCAACCCTACGTTTCAAAGGGCCAAATAGGAAAAATTTCCTACAAAATTCCTACACAGATCCTTTGATTCAAAGGGGGGCTAAATATAGATGCAATTGAAACCCAACTTTGATATATGCATTACACAAATTTGGGGATATGATTTTAAATCGTGGTTTCAAGCCCGCTGTGATATTATTATCAATGTACTCTTACCATACTTACAAAGAAAAGTATATATAGCATAACAAGGATAACATAAAAAAAGGGATGGATAAAAAGATTAAACTAATGCAACATAACAAGCTTAATACTAAAGAGTAAATTAGGTCCATCAACTTGATACTAACATGTATTCTTACCACTTCAAATAGGTAAACATCTCAGTTTGCAAAATTGTCTTTGTTTAGGAGGTTACACTATAGAAGGAAAAAAAATGCACTGGACAATATTTTGAATATACATACTGTTCTCTCATTCAGCATTTGTTTACATATTGGAATAAGAGGTAACACGTTGAAAGTTCTTGAAGAGAAAATGATCATAGCTGTAGCAAGAGTAAACAAGGAACGGCGCCGACATGGTGGTAATGAATCTGCAAGACTTACAAAAAGAAAAGTTAGGCATCCTCATTCATTTACAACATGGGACCAAGTTTTCATGACGCATGGAACACTGCATTTCAATTTACTATTAGTGCTACTTCAAGGCAACTTGGCTACCTGGTTCAGTCAGTGAATAGCCCCTCAGTGAAAATGCAACCTGAAAACTCTGAGTAAGAGCCTCAAAAACTGATGCCTGGAAGAGCAAAAGAAGGGAGAATAAGAAAATAGGAAATCATGATAGATATCCTTAAGCTTGGCAAAAATTAATCAATACTAGCCCCTGATAGTAGGGTTTAGTTAGGATGATCATCAATAACGCGTATGATAGATCATAGATGTAATAATAAGGAGGATTACCTTGGCTCCAGAGAACAATAGAAGCAAACTATAAGTGTGAGCAATGGCTTCATAGTTTGCTGGAGTATTTTCAGGAGATGTTGCTTGAGCCCAAATGGATGAAAGCAAAAGTGTGATCTGGCGACTGCTCAGCTTCAGCAAAACTGATTCCTGAGTGCATTCAAGATAATGCAGAAACAATTATGTGATTTTAGTTAATACATATAGAGTTTAAGAACAAGCCATATTTGATTAAGGTACCATTTCATCTTCTGGATGGCTTGAGGAACCATGGTCTGCCTTTATAGACATGGAAGGTGCTCTCAAAGACATCGAAGTAACTCTGAGAGATATGGAAGGGGCTCTCAGGGCTACTGAAGGAGCTCTCATAGCCATTGAAGGACCCCTCTTCATGGAAAAATTAGGAATTTTCATGCTACGTCGGCGACTTTGAGACACAGGTAGGTTCGAACGTTTGGCATTACTAGACTCTTCACTGATACTATGCAAGCCACTGCTATCACCTTGTGAGTTGTCTGAGTGCTTGTCCTTTTTCAACTTGTCAAAGATGGCAGCTGAAGATGAAAACACCGAGACAGCCCTAGAGAGTGTCCTCTGCATGTCATGTTTCTTAGCCTGACCTGATACACTTGCTTGAATCGAGGGGGCAACGGAAGAGGGGACCAAGACAATAGCGAAAATGCGGTGCGCAGCTACTCGAGCTTCATGATCAGGGTGGATCATCGTTAAGAGCAACTGATGAAACAGAGCTTCTGGAAACACCTGACATCATACACAAGAAGATAAGTCTTCAAAACAGAAGAAAGTACTGCAGCAAGGAGATAGTCTTCTATCTTCTAGTTTTGACAGTATACCTTATTCTGATAGGTAATATTTGGAACAGAAGCAATTATTTGAGCTGTACGATAAACAGCAGCTGCAGTTGATCTAGCTACAACAGGAGTGCTAGCAATATTTTCTAGCATCACGGCCATCATGTCCAGAACTGGTCCAGCATCAGTTACCTGTTCAACAAAATACCCTTGATAAACCTTCTGTGCATTGTGGATAGATCTTCTGAAACTAATCATAGCATTGCACAGAACAGAAAACAGGTTGCTGAGGGGCATCAATTGAATCAATCACATTTATATAAACAATATGATGGTGATGTAACAGGTATAGGAAAACATAGAAGTTCGCAGAGGGAGAGAAAAAGAACATACCTTCTTTGCCAGCTGTCCTAGACAATCATCTATAGCCTTTCGGAACTTTTCATTCCATTTTACTAGCTCCGAATCTTTGCTGCCGAGAGTAATATGAAATGTCCTTTTCAAATGCCTGACAAGATCACTTATGGCACCTATAGTTGCTGCTGAAGCCTGAGCGATGGATTGTTCTGCTAGGGTGGCTGCTACCTCCACGATACTAAGCTGCATCTCCTGTTGCTTCACCATGGTCTTGTGTTCAATATGCTTTATCAGTAGAGACAACATTAAGTGCATGTTTTGTCCTGTAGGAAGTATTTTATCAAAAATAAATATCTAGGTTCTTTGCATATGATAATGTTAGTATCTGTGTGGAAAAGATGCAAATGAAGCACCTGCGTTTTCCACTAACAGTTGCATGTCCAACAATACACACAGAGCAAGTCCATTTTCAGGTGACCATGAACTGTTGTTGCCGAAGTACCGAAACAAAGACTCCAGGATACGACGGAATGTTGTTGCCTCCCTGGAAAGCCTAGCCATATTGTGCACACATATTCTGGACCAAAACTTAGGATCCTTTGCTTCCTCCCTGCACATCACACAAGTATGTTCAGAAACCACCTACTGAAAAAGAAGAATTGACAAACCAAATCAACAGAGTAGAAAGAGATAATATTACACAGTAAGGTTAACTCCACCCTTAACATTAACTATGTTCTCCCACAAGGGGACAGCAGAGATGACAAAGGGGGAAGAGTCCTCCGTTTTGGAGTCCTCTGCTTTGGAGTCCTCCGTTTTGGGGGCTTCTTGCTCCAACTGGTCGCTTGAATCCTTGGTAACTTGACCATCATTTTGCATCTTCTGAGGTCGGTAGTTTTCAAGTACTACTTGAACCACCTAAGAATGAAAATAACAAAGAAAAAACCATGATGGAACATTTGGAACTGTAATATGCTTGTGCTAGCAACCTACTACCTGAAATTAGCCAAAATGGAGAGCAGAAAGAAAACTGTATGCATCACCCAGTTACATAATTATTTCAATAATATTTCTGATCATCTTATGAGCAACAACTAGTTGATGTTTGGCTAAATATGCATAAATAAATAAGATTTAAAAAACCATAGTAGCTGGTGTAGGATTTAGATAGTCCACCTCAAGGGGACAGTCCTAACTATTATGGCAGTCCAAGTCCACAGATTATCCAGATCCAGCTATCTAAAAGGTTTAATTACATATATTCCATTTTTGAGTCGTATGCAATTTAAAGTAAGATGCTATCTGATGATTATGAAATACATAAGCACAAAACTAAGGAAATGAACTACTAATCAGATATAACTTACATTATCGAATTCCGATGAAATATGTGAGAGCTCTCCCATGAACCAAATCTGCACAGCATAAGAAACTAAATGATATAATCACTGTCAAAAATATTTGGTTCGCTAAGTTATAAATGTTTAGAATAGTTGGTGCATACATTTGAAGCGAAATAAAGTAGACAAAAAAGAGAACAAAGCATCCATTTACATCATTATTGTGAAAGATAATTTACAGTAAAGCAATAAAGCACTATACTGTTGCAGATTAGTTTTACGAAAAAAAAAATATGGTGGGAACAAAATGTATCAATCTAGAAGTTATGTTGCAAAATAGTTCCTGGAAGTAAGTTGATAGTAATAATATATGTAGTTAGTACTTAATGCTTAATGATTATGAGCTCCCATTCGTCACGTAGGAATGCAAGAAACCTCAGATGCAAACTAATGTGTTTTGCAGCATACGTGTTAGTGTTTGCTTAGAAGTGAAGTGTAATTTGAATCTCTTCTGACACAGTAGTTGGACATTTTTTACCTTCCTAGTCACTTCTTCACCATTTTTGCAATCAGTGCTAGACATGTTATATGTGAAGTATGATTTGAATCTCTTCTGGTAACAGTATTCCCATACTTTTGTTTTCCTTCCTACTCATTCGTTCTTCATTTTAACAATAGGTTGAAGCATATGACGAAAGTTTGATATGGCTTAACAGTAAAGTTTACCATAGCTGAAAGGGCTTGCAGGGCTGCAGCGCGTAGGGCAATGGTCTGCTCATCCTCTCCTACTTCTTGAGATAGCTCACATAGTCTTGGGACTAGCCCTTCCAAATTGAACTGATATGTACCATCCACCTAAAATAGACGGAAATAAAAGCATGAACCAGATACATCATGTCTTTCAAAAGAATTCTGCTGGTGAGGAATGGTATCACTGATCACCAGGCAACGGAAATACCTGATTAACTGCAAAGTCAAACAAGGTTTCACATCCTATGATGCGCATATCATCCTGCCTCTTTTGATCTAAAAGAGTGTGTACAATACTTAATAAGCTACTTGCAAATAGTGGCCTGCATTGAGCAAACCAAATGATAGTATTAACATCTGATGAATAGAACCAGCATGTTACAACTCGTTAAAGGAAAAGGGCAAAACAAGGGGAAAAAGAAGACTCTCACATCTGCTCTTTACAAGAAACCAACAATCTACGGTATATTAGCATCACCACTTTTGCAAAGCCATACTGTTCACTTCTCAATTCCTTGTAGATCCTTTGCTCCAAGGAAACCGTGATCTGCTCATACATCAATTTGGAAAAAAAAATGGAGTCAACTGAGCTTGAAATTTTCTTGAGAAAAGATTGAGGTGAATTTGTGTCAATCAATACATGACTAACAACAACAAGAGCATGACAGGAACAATCTGACTATTGACAGAAACATTTTTAGCTCCACAAGAAGGTAGAGGGCGTGAACCTTGGGCACTCGGAGAGGGTTCCTCGAGCAATACTCGCACAACTTCCCGATCCTTCTCTCATTCGGTTCTTCATCCTACATCATGATAACATACGAGCAGCAACAACAAGTAAATTAGCTAAGCTGCGGAGCATCGATTAGTCCGATAATGCGGCTTCCACACATGAACAGAACAAACAAACAAGACAGAGATGGGGGATGCAGCAAGGGGCCCAACCTACCTGCGTTTTGGGGAAGATCTCAGCAAGGATCGACTTGTACCTCTTAACAGGCTGCCTTGATCTTGCCCTCAACCCGGGGCAGAAATAGCAGAGGCTCCCGCACGCCGGCAGGACCTTCCGAGATATCACGCCCATCCCCTACTACTGTAAGCAGAATTGATTTAGCAGAGCAAAAAACAAAAAAAAAAGCTAATTAGAATAATTGCAAACACAACAATGGCGATCAAATCAAGGGATTCCACCTCCAATATGCACTATCTAGCTACGAATTTTCTCCAAAGCAAGATACATTAATAATTGTTGTTGGCAAGTTAAAACCGAGCAGGCGAAATTCATAAATTTTGGGGGGAATGCCATTTCTAACGGAAATCAAATCAAAACGAAAACAAAAAAAATTCTAGCGGCGTTCGATCTCGCTTAGCGGCGGCTGGCTTGGTGCTAGACCTTCTCCTAGGTTGCGTGTTTGTTTGTTTTTCTTTCATGGTTACAGCCTTCCATGGCTGCAATCTTGTAAAAATTATTTTTCATATTATATCAATATAAAACTTAGCAAATGTATAATGCAGGCACTTTAAGAAAAGAAAAACAAAAAAAAATCGAGCGGCAACCTGCAACAACAGAAGCAATGGTTCGAACCCCAATCTCTCGACCAATCAAACATAATTTAATTAAAACGCTATGGAAGGAGATCGATAGATCGATCGATGGAGGAGGGCAAAGGAGGTTACGTTGCTAGGAGAGGCCGCCGCCCGGCGGGCGGGCTGGGCGCCGGGGGGGAAGAAACCGCGGGGACGGCGTACGTGCGTACGGCCGCGCTCTCCTGCCGATCCGGCCGATGGAGAGATGCGGGGCGGGTGGGGAGGAGAGGAGACGCGGGGGTGGGAGGGAGGGAGAGAGGAGGGAGGCTGTGGCACGGCGGGCGCGCATGGCCTTGGGCGAGGAATGGGGGGTGGCCGCCATTGGTGCGGGCGAAGTGGGCGCCGGAACTCGAGGCGCCTGCACCTGCATGACCTCCGTTGCGCCAGCAAATGCCAGGTGGGTGCATGCCGGTGTTTGTACAATCATAGTGATCTCGGAATACGGCAGGTACTATAGCCATCCAAGTACGAGCCACAAGATGCTACTGGCTCCGTCCTAATTTGTATAGCACCTTCTTTTTAAGAAAAATTAAACCTGATAACTTTTGACTAATAAATATTATGTATATTATATCACTAGATTTATATTTATGTTTTAAAGTACTTTCACGTGATACTAATTTTATATTTATCGGAAACATAACATGGGATAAATTGATGGTCAAAGTATGTCATTGAAGAATGTATAAAATATATAGGCCTTATAATTTGGGACGGAGGAAATACATAGTAGTACTAAATGATGAGGTGGAGGAGATAAGAAAGATAAGAGCGAAATATTCACTTCTCAGAGCAAGTATAATAGCAGGCTATAAGCGAGCTATAACCACATATCGAGAAGAAAAGAGAAGAGAGAGAGAAGAAAGTGGGCTACAGATTTGTAGCCAGGTGCAACACAGACTCTAAGTTGTTGTGTGCGTATGAGAGGTGAGACCGGGTATTAATGGTGTAGTATGTTTTTATAGGTAACTATTATATGAATGGATTATTAGATTAGCTATAGATAATTTGGAGCTAACATTTGGCTATACTATTAAACTTGCTCTTATGCAAGGAGCAACCCCTACACAAACTTTAATAAATATGTGAGAGTGTTAGAGATATTGGAGATTGTGTGGTAGAGGCAACCTATTACACATGTTACCTCTTAATTAATTTAATAGTATATGTCATGTATGAAATTAGATGTGGTAGTAACTTCTACCATGAAGATATGTATATTGTTCTCCCCACTCATTCCCCTATAGAAGGCCACCGAAGCTCCGGATTGTTGGTACTAGAATCTAAGAGCAGGTACAATAACATGCTATAAGCTAGATATAAGAATATTTTGTGAAGATAAAAAGATGAGAGAGAGAGAACAGCGGACTATAGATTTATAGCCAGCCGCAGTACGGACTCCAAGACACAATATGTGTATGATAAGTGTGACCAGATATTAATAGTAATATAGTATATGTTTATAGGTAGCTATTGTATGAATTGGCTGTTAAATCGATTATAGATGACTTGAAGCTAGCCGTTGGCTGTACTATTAAACTTGCTTATTCGTACCATGCATGATTAACAACTAAAAATAGCCTACATGGGTAACAGATAGATAAATAAACTGTAAGGGAGAATCCTCTATAATATTTTTTATAAGGGTTCACAATTTTAACAAAAACCAGTCGAATTCCACGAAAAACCGAGGTTTTGACGTAGCCCGAAAGTAGAAGCCGTTTAGAATTTTGATGGGTTTCATCCAAATTTAAATTTGAATTGATAAAAAGGAAAAAAAATAAAACCCTATAAATAGTATGATATTTATAGAACCTATTTGGGTATAAATTTTTCAAAAAATTGGTGTATTCGGTGTATTTCTTAAACTTTATAGTAGGAAAGAAAAAGAATAACAATTTAAAAAAAAGGAAAACACTTTCCTGGGCCGAATTCCATGCAGTAAGCCCACTTAGTATTTAGCCCAGATAATAGAATAGAGAGGGGATGTAGTTCTACACCTGATTTCGCTCGGAATTTCGCTAAAGCTGACTGGTTTTTGCGAGCATACTGGTAAACTTAGGGAATTTGTATTCAAATTTTAGTTTATGAAATTTGTTCAAAATCTACCGGTTTTCAACCTGATTTTGCGAAAACTATCATACCGCCAAAGCCCGGAATAGAAGGTCATCTCGGAATCGTAAACCCTATGCAGATACATGATAGTCCTATAGCTTATAATTCAGTGAAAATGCAGCAGTTATATGATCATGCCAACGCTGATCAGCTACCTGACCATGTAAGATATATATCTAAAGTTCATACAAATACTTGTATCCCTGCATTTTTTTCGAACGTGCAAAAATGATTACATGTCAGTATATTAGAAAAAAAAATCTTTTATACTCTTATACAGCGCAACCGGCCAGACGGCTATTGCTTGGGGACAAGGAAAAAAAAAGAGAAAGAAACAGAAAGAAAGACTGCTAGAGTAAAAAAGTACGAAAGAGACACGTTGCTCCTATAGAAAGGAGGGTGCCGGCGGAGCCCCACTACGCTCCCAACATTAACATTAACAGTTTTGTATCCCTGCATTAACAGTTAGCTGATCATCTGAAACAAATTAAGGATGAAAGAACCCTGTGCAGATACATGATAGTCCTAATCCATCATCTGTTCTGGATTTCATAAATTGATTTCACATAGCCCTGAGAAAAGTTACCGACAAGGGATTGGAAACACACGCACTCACTATATAACTTTGATTAACAAAATGTTCTCGTCTAGATTTACAAATAGAAAACAAGATCATTTATCACCTATGGATGTACATAAATAATTAAAAGCATCCCTGAAACTTGATGCAAGGAAACAGTTCCCCTTATCCACCTATCTCCCATTCAGCAATTTACAGTGTGAACCAAGAAAATTCTGTTTGAAGAAGCAACTTTATTTCATTTTCCCACTTTTGGGAACATAGCAAGCAACATTAACCAGCAATCTCGCCGGAATTTTAACTGAATCCTGTGAAACGCAAGTAATTTCCGTGAAACACATTCGCATGCGATGCATTTGGGAAGTGATGGCATTCATCCACTTCAACCAATTGATTGTTGAATGGTGATATTGACGGTGAAACTCACTTTATATTTCAGTTCCCCATAATTGTCACAAGTAAGCTAGGAACAAATCCCTGATGATGAGATCGATCCTTTTATGCATTTGTAACATGTTCTTGTAAAATAAATAGACTTTGATTTGTGATGCCGGAGTACTATGCACATGCCTAGTAGAGGTCCTAGAGGACATGTTTTTTTCCCCAATACTTGTTTTTATTTTTCTTGCCTAACCTCTATGCCTTTGTTTAATATGCATGATCTGCCCAAAATTAATGAAATTTATAATGGTTCATTACTACGAACTGTAAATACTTGTTTTTTTACTTGCAAAGTACACGAATCTCTATCTGTCGTGAATATGAATATCGTCCAAGAAAAAAAATTAGTAACATCCACGACACTAAATTTGTTTCACTAAATTTAATATTGAATATATTTCGATAATATGTTTGTTTTGGGTTACAAATATTACTGTATTTTTCTACGAATATGATCAAATTTAAAGAAGTTTAACTAATAAAAAAAATCAAACGACTTATAATATGAATTGGAGGGAGTATACTACTGCCACTGAGTTAATCATAGTTGAACGATTTACAACTGACAGGGTTTTAAATGATGAAGTTGTAGGCCGTCCAAGTTTGCTGAGGAGCAGAGCCAATGCTTAATCTGTCAAGAAAACTATGATGGGTAACTACCATTCCCTTGGTAGAATCACCACAAGCTCTTCGCCTCTTCCTACTAGTCTTATACTCTAGATGTAATCCATGAAATCCCATGAAAGCTTGTACTAACAATGATCAGGATTAATTAAAACAATGAATAAAAAAGTAGTGAGTAAGAGGTATTAATTATTGACTCATTTGGTTCATTTGTTTCATAAGAGAAATTATGCTTGAGCCATTTGAACCTAAAGTCTGGCCAGTCTATAAATTTGGTTGATGTTAAACCTATTTTGTTTTAAAATAACTCCGGTTACTGCTCTATAGATTTCTACGGATTTGATGATGTACCGTAGTATAAGGTGAAATTTGATTTTGCACGCTCTGTTGCGAAGTGAAAATGTGTGCTAAATAAGGTGCAAAAATATATATTAAAAAAAGTGCACTGTACATGGCGTAAAATGCAGTACACTCATAAATGTCAGCGATGGATGGAATTCACAACATCAATTTCTTTCACGAGGTACAGTGACAGTGCTACAATTTCACTGCATCCCCTGTTAAAAATTGCTGGAGTGAGGGCTCTCATTAGTCATTACTATCCATTCACATTAGGAAGACCTTAATTGCTGGCATTCGGTAGTGTGAAGTCTCAACACCATACCTGCATTTTGTACCCTCTCACTAGAGAGCCACAGTACAACTGGCAGCAGTGAATGACAATTGACAGTATAAAGCTGCATTTACTAGCAACAGTGGAAGGCAATGTGCAGCTTATAAGGTGTATACATGGATCATCTCTAAAACCACAACTATCAAATCAATTGCTTTTCCCCTCTCACAGCAGCACATATTTTTACCACGATCTTGTGATCTAGGCATGGGATGCATCAGGAGAAGATACATCGGTTGTTCTCTCATTGGATGCCGCTCTAGAGTCCAAAGAAGCTTTGGCATGCATGCTGCTCTGACGATCCAGTTAAGTTAGTACCTTGCATGATTGAACATGCTCCATTGCTAACACATCAACGAACATAAGGTGAAGGTGTCTATCTATAACCTTTCTGTCCCTTGAGCTCAACAACACCCTTGACCTCAACAATATGAAAAATCTGTGCATCGTTTGCATGGGATGAATGATATCTAAAAGTCTACATTAACCAACAGCCTCCTGCACAAGAATGGAGATGACTGAATATCTTGATCAAGTAATATTCCATCTTGCTTTAATTAATAATGGCTATATCGAGAGAAATAAAATGATTTGGAAGCTTAAGATACCGCTTAAGATTAAGATCTTCATGTGGTACTTACTTAAAGGGGTTGTGTTAACCAAAGACAATTTAGCAAGACAGAATTAGAATGGTAGTTTAAGATGTTGTTTTTATATGAAAAATGAGAATATTCAACATCTTTTCATGGATTGCCATTATGCAAGGTTTATATGGAGAGCAATACAATATTCTTTTGGTCTATGCCCTCCTAGTAGTATATCATATATTTTTTATGGTTAGCTTTTGGTGGTGGACAAGAAAATGAGTAAGCTTATATGGAGTAAGCTTATACTTGTGGGGGTCTCTGCAATATGTTGGGCTCTGTGGTTGAGTAGGAATGATTTGGTTTTTG